ATCAAAAGGCAAGCTGAGAGGAGGAGCACACGGAGCAGAGGTGTTTCCAGCACTGCACAAAATCTTCTCAGAAAGGTTAGTGCAATGTCTACGCTACAGATACTAGTATGTATACTCACTTCTATCTGGGGGGGAAAAAAAAAAGCAATGGCCACTAAAACATCAAAGAAACTCATGCCACAAGACATTACTGTAGCAAACCAATATATTTTCAAACTTTGCAACAACTAGCTGTGTTTGTTAAAAACGCATGTCCCACACCGCGACGTTAACCCTCGTACGTGGGGTTTAACTGAGTGTAACTAACTCAGGGCATTTGAACGTGCATGTCTCTCCTAGCTAAGGTAAATAAAAATGGATGACTGCAGGCACAGATGGTCACAGACTGGGTCTGTGCACTCTCTCTCTTCTCGTATTAGTAAATTTGATCCTGAAAGCCTAACTGTGGAGGCTGAAGTGAATGTCACCAGTCTGCAAGTTGTTTCTGTAAATCTCCTGATGCAAAATTAAGGAAAAGCCAGAGTTACAAAGCTCTTCTCCAGACCAAGTGTCACAGAAAGAATTCACTTTGTAAAGGATGCTCAGAGTTATCTAGAAAGCTGCTCTGAACAACTTTATTGCCAGGCATTTTGGTATGCCATTACTTGAGGGACCAAGTTTCCATGTGAGCTGGTGGAGCCCAGGGCTGCCCATGGCTTCCAGATGCCCCCAGGCACACTTCCTCTAACACAAGACCTGAACAAATCAGACCTGCAAATGGCACTGTAACCCCAGCCAGGATTAAAACTGAGCTTTCCCAAACACAGCTTCCTAGTTTGGGCAGAAGGGTCAGGCAGCCCTTACAGCTTCTAGACCTGAGCATGCTCAGGTCCAGCCCAGATTCGTCTGCTCCTCCCATGCCTTGCCCCCAGGCCAGCCAAATGGCCAGTCCTGTCCATTCCAGCCTGGTTTGTTAACATTTTCCATGTAGTTGGTACCAGCCAGAAGACTGCCTGCATTGTAAGGTATCATCTGTAATGCTTTGAATCTTTATACAAGCAATAAGATGAGTTGTTTGAAAGCCTTCATAAAATTGTAAGCAAATAGTTTAGACATTTTGATGAGAAGAGAAGGTTTTATTGTGATGTGATTGACAGTCTCCGTGAAGGGTATTTACAGTCTGACTCTTATTACTAAAAACACCATGACAGGTAGAACTTGATGTGGATGTATAATGGGGAGACGATGGGAAATTATGACAAAAAGAGCTCATTAAACATTTCACTTTTTTAGAACAGTTAATTTCACATATGGAACCACTATTTCTAAGTGGAGCGTGTACAGCTTAACACGAGCTCTTTGGGGTAAGCTTGCTTTCTTTGTCTGGCTTGATGTCTATTCTCCATAGACGGAGAATAGGAAACTTGGTCTAAGAAAGGAGCAGTGAGAAAACAGGAATGAATACAAGAAGTATGAGTTGCTACATAGGAAAGCAGAGATAGTGGGAGGATACTGGCTATCACGAAAAGCATGTGTTTGGAGCTGAGCTATGTGCCCGGCAGAGGAAATCTACAGGAGAGTAGGATTTGCTGGGAAGGGATGCAGCAAAGAGATAGGGAAATAAAAGAATTATACTGAGTAAGCAATCTTTTCATCCCAATGTCAGAGAAGTGACTTGGCAACCAGCCACCAGTCATAATTGAGTTCAGTGGGTATGTTCAAATTCTGAGATCTGAGACTCATTCCTTTCCGCCTCATTTGCACCGTATTTACATTACTTGATATCATAGATCATGAGGAGTCACACTATAAAGTACTTTGACACCTCCTGACAAATGGCCTCACATAAGGGCACTGTATCGTGTAAGTACATCAGCTATCTTGATGCATATACAATGCTGAATACTTCTGCTTCACGGCACTACTAGGAAGATGCTTCATATCTCCAGCCCCAACGGGATCCCATATGCACAGAGAAAGCAGTATTTGTCCAAACAGTCCTGGTTTCTTAAAAAGCTACGTCTTAATTGAAAACCACTATGAATTAAACTTCCCAGTTCCAAAGTAACCTTTAGAAAATGGATTCTGGCTTTTAGTTCTTGCACTGTGGTAGATCTCAACCTACCTAAGCCTAACTATTTAGAAGTTATCATACCTGCAGTTCATTTAAAATTCCTCTGCAGCCATGAAACAATGACGTTGTAGATTTATTTCCACCTGAGAGGGACACCTCATGCAGACAGGAGGAATTTCCCCATGAAGCGGCTATTTCTCTCCACTGGCTACAAAGTCAAGGGTGGAGGGCACCTAGATGACTACTTCAGTATCGCTCACTTGTATGTGTGGAGACTAGAGATAACTTGCCTGAGAACACACCAGAGGAAAAGAATCCCAAGACGGAAAATCGATCTCTGTCCAGGGAATGTGAGCAATTCTATTTGAACACAGGCAAAACTTGCTGCATTTTTATTACGTGTTGTATGTATTGTCAGGAGAGAGAATTCATAGTGCCTGAAACCTATTAGGAGCTTCAGAAAGTTTCTCACTTTATTCATCCATTATGAAATTAATGAAAGCAAGATCTCCTAATAAAGGAAGTGTCCTTATATGTTTAAACCAGGTAGATGAGCTAGATTATTTGCCCTCAGATTGAATTTTAGAGGTTTATATAATAATGACAGCTATAAATTGAAAAAAAATTATGGCAAGTGTCTCAATGACAGAGAGTCTCAGATGTGGAAGGGTGAGCAATAAATCAGATGGGCAGCGGAATATTAAATTGCTAATTTTAAGAGCTATTGCTGCTTTTCTTTTTTTTTTTAATACATACTAATAAAAAGGTGAAACAAAAATCTCAGCTACACATTTCTTCCTCTTCTCTTTTTTTTCTTTTTCTTCATAAATTGAATTACATAACTTGTTTGGAGAAAAAGCTCTAATCACTTTGAATTTAACCATGCAATAGCAAAAAGAAATTAAGGAAGCAACCAGCTTCATGAAGATGACAGATTAAATATATGTGATGATTACGCAGTAGGTTCCATATACCCTATATCTCATAGTCATGCTCTTTATCAGGACAGTCTAATACCAAAGTGTCTGCAGATATGATTGCAAGACACCCAGTCATACTGCAACGACCTAAATTACAGACTATATCCAGAATAAATTTGAAACATTGCTGAAGGAATAATAAAAAAGTCACAGGAAATGTAGAGAGGAAAAATTGTAACACTGAAGTATATGAGAAATGAGTGAAAAATCTACAGCTATTCCGTGCCCACAAATACCTTAATTAGTTATGCAACATGAGTTATTTTACTAGATTTTCCTAGGCAACACGATGATGCCTCCCTCCTCTTAGTGGCTTATCATGAAATATTTATGGCAAGTTTTGTTTGTTTGTGCAAACCACAAAAGTGTCACAATTCAGGCCCCCATCCGGCCCCTCCCCAGCATTTATCTTTTTTATTTGACATATTGGTCTCTGTGCTCAGCCCAAGCCGTGCAAGTTACGACATCCTTATGTGAAAGGAGTTTCTCTCTGTCTCGAATACAGGCATTTTTCCCATGCTCACAGTAGACTCAAATCCCTGACCTTTTCCTTTGTTTTTCTCCATACTCACACAGATCCTCAGAAATACTAATTTTCTGTGTAACCAATGGTATCCGAACAATTTCTCAAAGTATTTACAGCGCAGATTTATATTAAACGGTACAACCTGCCCTTCAGCAAATGCATGCCTTGTTGCTAAGGCATCTGTCGCTCCACTTCTTATCTCAACCACTTGTTAGCATTCCTTATACATTCTGGGGATAAATGCTTCACCTCTTCAAAATTCTAATACACAGAAAGGGAATGGTGCCATCTGGATACACCAACATATTACCCCTAATTTTTAATAGTGTACTGTTCATACAAGGCACAGGACAGAAAGAATTAAGTTGACAATCTATATTGACCCTTAGCCTCTTGCATACTTAGAGCACTACAGAAATAATACATAGCAATGTTAGGAGGAAATATCTGTGTGCTGATTACAGCCCACAATAACCAGGAAAGCAATGCAACACATAGAGAAAAAATTCTGCCATTCAGGAATTTGTTGAGTGTGGTCTTTTTGCACTCTTAATCCTGATGTAGTTCCTGTCAGAGTTTCCCACAGCTGTTTAAACTAATGGCAATTGCACATATCTCTGCCCTACAACTCTACAGCTCTTACTAAGCAACCATAGAAGTTGGTTTTATTGGAAAAATAATTGCTTTTCTGTGGTGTATGTTAGGTTGGTATTTGATGCAACTTGTTTGTTTGGGTTTTTTTTCCAAATGACAGAAAAGTAATTCTAATGCAAATTCCCTTTTTTTTGGTAACATTTGATTTGAAGCTCCTTATGAAAACTTCACCTATCAGCACACTGTATTCACCAGGAAGTCTTCCAAGACGTGTAGATGTTCTAGCTGCATAAAATCATTGTAGAGGTCACAGACAATGTTTCAACATACCTGCTCCTAATGTTACTTCTCTCAACCTCCTCTCTATTCAGACCTTGCCTCCCCTGCTGTCCTACTAAACCAAGCTGTAAGGAGCATAATATGTAAAGCATGGCTCTGATAGAACACACAGGAGGAAATGCAGCCCATGCTCATTCAGTGACAAGCCTTGTATAGCTTGTACCTCTATCGGGTAATAGAGGAACCCTTCTAATCAAGGCAGCAATGATTCATGCATTAATATGCAGAAGGCTCACTGTTGACTCTTAACCACAGATAACACATTTATAAATGGTGACTTTCGTAAGAATGAGTCGGAAAAGACAGAAAGGAGATTTAAGTAATGAATGAGATGGATAGAAGTGACATTATAATCCTGGTTACTCTGAACCAACCCAATCAACACACAACAGATCACTGATAAAATTTCCATCATGAGGAATGTACCAAATGTTACGTACAACAATGGAAGTCACAGAAGCCAAGAAACACATCTTCTTTACTGCATATAAATAGGGAAGATACTTACACTTACAGGTTGACTTTTTGGCACATCATAAACACCTTCCTTCTTTTGGCTGGTAGGAACCTGCAACAGCAAATGAAAACTAAGGTCATTACCCAAGCAAGTTTGATGAAAAATTGAAATATGCAATTGATATTGAAGTACAAGGTAGTAATTTAATACAAATGAAAACAAGGGTGGCTCCCTTTTCATTCAAGCAGTAACATTAATAGAGACAATACTGAAGAAATAAAACATCTATCTGAATGTTTTAAATCCTAAAGCCCAGTAGTGTTCAGAAATTAGATTTTCATTCTCAGTTAGGTATGGTGGCGTTAAGTTCAGGTGCACTTGGATCTCCTTCCTACTTAATTGGTTGTTTTTTCATTTTACTTGGGGGTTAGAAGATGCATATGGAAGTCACGATCAGGTCAGTACGGTTTGGCCTGTGGCATTAGATTTCTTCCAATTCTTTTAATAATCTAAGGCAAGTAAAGTCATAACATGTACCCCTGCAGTGATATACGCCCTAAGCAATGTTTGGTTACAATTCTGCAATTTTATTAAGGAATTACTGGCCTGTCAGAGTCTGAGGCTGCACAACGGCTCAAACAGCCACGGAGCTGAAGTCAATAGCCTCGCATGGACAGGGGATGATGCACTTAAAAAAACTCTGGTTGAATCTTTAGTTGAGTCAACAGTCATGATTTATACCGTGGGCATTTATAGCCTACTCCTGTAAATTCAGTTGCTTTATATTACTGGGCTTTGCTTGCCTCAGGGCTGCTGTTTACATATTTATAATTTGTGATTATATTTCTTTTCCTTCCTAGAAGAACTGAATGTCTATTGTAAATGACACAAGCAAAAAGAATGGTAAAAACATGCTCTAAACAGACATGAAAGCTCTAAGTGTGTCAGTGCTACTTTTCCATTGAACATAAGAAGGTTGCATCTCAGACAATAATGAAACCTCACAGGTTAACAGGACAAATAATATGGCAGATATGACAAAAAAATGATTAAGTTTTTGTTTTCTAAGACAATAAATATCTTATTTCTGATGTTAGAGTTGGTCTGGTTTAGGGGAAGCTGAAGGAATGTTACTTATTCATTGAGATGTGCTATCATTTCTTATTTTGTGTAGTGTATCAAAAACTCTACAGCTCAAACATTCTCTTGTCCATGTTTAAATGTCAAAGTCTTCATGGGAGACGGTGCATCTTTAACTTGGTGCACATTTCAGAAGGTTTTCAAGGGCATAAGCGCAGAACCCTCACTGAAACTGAACGAGTTTTTAAAAGAGCTCTTCCATTCCTACTCTGGGAATGACTTGCTTGCCTTGGTTTTCTCAAAGTACTGTCTTCTTCCACTAAAACCACCTATGACATTAGATAATGTGAAACTGGTAAGAGTGGAACAATTCAATTTCATGGCAATAAAGTGCTCTCTTTTTACAGACTGTTAAGTGACAGTGCAAGAGCAGAAACCAAGAGTGGTGTATTTAGTAAGTCACTGGGAAGTCTGGTCTTCATAAAAAGAGGACAAACGTGGCACGATAAACTATTTATAAACTATCAGCAGCATATATTTTTCTTTTCTCTCTGTAAAGTTTCCCCATCAGCCAACTTCTCCATGAAGTCATCTCCATTTGCACACTCCTATCCATAACTTATTATGGAACAAGCATTTCCCTGCGCTATCAATCCCCCCTCTCCTACTGCAACTTATAATTACATCAGAAAAAAGCTTCCGACTTCTAATATCAAGACAGAGGTATTTTTCTGAGAGACATTTTTCTCTCCCACCTCGATACCGCCTGTCTTCCTGTTGTCCTTACTTGCCATGTATCACCGTGGGTTTTTGCATCGCTATGTAGACTGGGGGTCTGCAAGGGATTTCTCCTGGTTTTAATTTGATTAGCAATATCAGCAAAGGGGTACCAGCACTATTGCTGCTGACAGCTCTGGCTCTGTGGCAGGCTGTGAACCATTCTGATGTACTTAGATCTTGCCAGCCATACAAGCACGGCAATTCAGAACCCCCATCTCAGACCGTCATCTCCTGATGGAGCAGAACTTGCCTCTCCATAGAGACCAATGCTGCTACATACACAATACAAAAACACCCAACAAAATCCCATCCCTACCTCACTACCATGAAGTAGCAGACAGGCAGAGATGCTATTAAGAAATCTGGTACTAGGTGAGAGGATTGGTACATCCTCAGTGATCAAGTCCTTGCATAACTAAGACATTAGAGCAACTTATATAGGCAGACAATATTAAAAGAGCAGACAGACACAGACAGTCTTTGAGGCAATATATCAAAGAAAGGTGACAGACAGAGAAAGAATGCTTAAAAAAGAAATTTTGATGTCTACTATGTTAAAAAGAAAGAGTCACTTTTGGCACCTATCTTCCATTTTAGTTACCCATTGGGTAGGAGTCTTTTCCACCAAGGGAGAAATGAACTCTTTGCCTACCAGCTCTTGGCTGAAAAACCAGAACAGCACCAGAAGAAAGATTTGGCAAGGCTGAAGCGAGGATGCATGAGATTTCTGAGCAGATGCACGTTTACTAGAGGGTAGTATGGGGAAGGCTTTGTAGTAAATAATACGAGCTGGCAACAATTTGCCTCAAACTAAAAAACCAAACAAACAAAAAAGAGGACCTTTTCTAATTTATTTATAATGGACGGGTCTGAGTTCATCAAAATCTCCTAAGAGAAACAATTTTGCTGGTGTAAAACCTGAGCTGTGGGAACCCAGATTTATAGCAAGCCAAGAGCTCACAAAGTCCATAGGAACTTGGAAGCTCACGGCTTTGGGCAAGTCTACAGTAGCGATACTGTAGCATCTGTCAATTACAACAGAGAATAGAAAAAGACTCGCAGCTCCCTCATCTCAGCATTTGTTGTATTCAAGGTATTGCCTGTAGTAAATACAGAGAAGGACAATACTACACTGCATATACTGAGAGTATGGCATATTACGTATCACAGGTATTTGCTGTGCATCAACATGTGAAAAGAACTTCATCACATCCAGACACTGTCATATGAAGCCTTAAGCAGTTCTCTAGTGACTTGCAGGACAGTAAGAGCAGTACCTCAAAATGAGGTAAGACCTCACTATATGATTGTCATCTTCTACTTCCATTTTAAGAAAATGTCCAGAGAGCTCTCCTGTTCTTTAGGCCATTCCTCAGAAGACAGTTCCTACTTCTTCCCTACCCACCAGAGTTTGCTCTAAGATCTCCAAACACTGCGAGTGACGACTCCACCTTGCTTGCTTCCAATAGTACCTCTCTAAAATGCCACTAAAAGCTCTGCACTTCAATGAACAACAATCAGAATTTTTTGGTCTGAATGTAGTTGTCATGGGATTTTTGTTTCTAGCATAAAATTGGCAATTAGAGTAGTAATCTTTTAACAGATTGCTTTCCTGAAAATAGTCAAACTTTCAACACTACGTGGTAGAAAATTTTCCAGCTTAGACATACTCTCACCTTGGGAGCTTTGCATGTCTTGGGCTAGAGATGCAGCATATTCTAGTGTGTGTGGTGGGATGCCAGGAAATCAACAGAGACAGCTTAAATGAATCTCATCTTAATGATCCTGTGATGGGGTCCATAAGATGGCTATTTTCTAATGTTTGCCACTTAGCTTCTTTCTAATTTGGCTTACCACTACTCTACCCTTTCGTTTTTTCCATTACCTTCCTAGCTTTTCCATTACTTAAAAAAAACCCCTTTCCTTTTTTTTCATTCTATCCCTGCTCCTGTCTACCTTAAAAAAGCTTTTCCTATTAGCAGATCAAGCTCTAGTACAGCTAGATGAAATGATTAATCACTGCTTGAATCTCCCTTCCCCTCCATACTAGATTATTTCCTCAAATCACAGTCCTCTTGCAGCACACAAAGATTTCTGTCTATCTACAGATTTGCCTCTAGTATGTGATACAAAATGAATTACATTATATTTTAATAAACCCAGTACTGATCCCTTGAGGATAAATTGAATGACAAAAGATTATTTTATATTGCTTTCAATGCAATTTTTTGTCAGTGTGAAGAATGCAAGCTTGGGCTCTAACGTAACATATGGACTCTGAAAATATTTTCCCCAGTCTGGGGGATATCCATTGAGAGCTCTTAGGTTTTGCTCAGTTATCTCCTTGGTTAGCCGGAAAGAAGAGCAGTACCATCAAAATGTTTTTCTAAGAATTGCTTGGATGGTCTGCCTTCCATCAGATTTCAGTATCTGTTTCTTAGAATAGGTGTAAAAAGTTTCAAAAAATTAACATAGAGAAAGAGAATCCACTATTTGTCACCTTATACAGTGTACTCAAAAGTTTAAGACCCTTCATAAATTGACAAAGTTAATAAAGTTTGCAGAAGCTGAAATGACAAACAATGGAAAAAATCACACTGAGACTGGCAGATTATTCATGTCATGTCACCTGAATGAAATGCCAGACATTTTTGTGATGAATGAAAACTAACAAAAGTGAACCATATATGAAATGTACTTTACTAAATGCTTGCAATCGTTGCAACAAAAACCCCGAAGTTAGCGATTTTATACCTGATAAATGTTTTCTTCCGTTTCAGGCTCACGGATTGGCTCGTGCCCAGCCTCAAACACAATGTACTATTACACCAGCCGCCAGAGAGGAAAAGTCAAAGATGAAACAGAAGGGAAAAAGGCGATTTGGAATTCCACGTAAAAACATAGGCAGGCATTAAAGAAACAAGTTCAAAGTACAGGCTGGCAGCAGGCAACCGGTTGGTTGGAAAGCGCAGCGTAAGGTTGCTTCATATTTTATAAACTGGCAATGAATAGACCTAAATCTTCTCTAATGATCATTAGAGCAACTTCCTAATTCTTTAGCACTAGGGAGACCGCCTGTGGCCCAATATTAATTTTCCAAAGTCAACGTGAATTTTGCCTCTTTTACATAATGGCAATTACTTCCACATATATTTATTATCTATGAATAAAAAAGCTAAATCCAAACTGGAAGAATAGGCTGGTGCTCATGTAACAGGCCACACGGTGAAAGGCTGTCACAACACTTTTCATTTTCAGGTTTCTTGCTTTATTGTGAAGAGCACAAAGTAAAACTCCTGACATTATAAAAGCTGAATAGTAATTTAGGGCATCCTAATTCTTATCATCTTTCTTGCTGCACCGTAGGCACTGTTCAATATTCACTAATGGTTGAATCAGTTTCTTTCAGTGTGCCTCCCACTGACATGCCTAAGTGGAAGAACACAAAATCTCCAGGAAAAAAAAAAAAAGTAAACTATCATATATTTTGTTTCAGCACAAAAACATGAAAATGAAATTACATCTTTTTCTTCTTCACACTCAGTAGGATATTGGACATGAATATATTGACACATTTCTGATAACCACCTTTGCTCCCAGACATTTCGCTTGGATAAAACAAGACTTAAATTTCAGATCTCTTATTAAATCATAGCTCAAACGCCAACAAAGGAGTGCATTATAACATCAATTCTTCTGTTGTTGTTTTCAAAATATTCACACTCTGAATTAAACTCTGGCCCCATAGAAGCCAAAACGAAAACGTCAATTTATTATTGTCAGAACAAGATGTCACCTTCCTTATCCTCAAAATAACTTCCTTGTCAGTTAGAGTTGGTATTAAAAAATGATGACAAATCTCATTTGGAAACTTGGAATCTGGACTCACAAGCCACATTTTAGGAAATATTTATGAAATACTTCTATTTCTATATTTCTGTAACTGAACTATTCTATTCAGACACACTGTGCTATTATTTACAGCTTAATCTCTAAATATGCTACTTTCGGTAAAAATCTTACAAGTTTCTCAGAAGACCTATCTCAGTAAATTTCAAAACATCTTGTTAAAGGTTTTGGCTGTGTTTGAAGATAACACATATCTTGTCATTTCTGAAACTCCAAGGCCATATAGCTTCAGAAATTACCTGGTATACAGGATCTTCTACATCTTCTTCCAAAATTGTCTACAGCAAAGTAAGAGGACAGGCAGTAAAAGCAAAGAACATAAACAGTAGAGATAAAAGAACTGTATTCAGAAATTAAAGGACAGCAAAGAAATAAGCAAAATGGGCAGGTAAGCATATAGTTTTCTTTCTTTAGTATACAGATAAAGTCACATTATTGTTCAAAGCAACTTTATTCAAGTTTCATCCAAATTTGACAATCTGCACCTTATTTGATTTGATTCAAATACACACACTGAGAAGTATATTGAATCTTCCCTAAAGTATCCGACACTTAAAAACCTGACTTACAACACACAGACCTTCATTAAAGTTTTCCTTCTGAATTAGAAGAAACACTACACAGGAAATGAATAGATCATTTCCAGTTGCTAAACGTGATCATCATACCCCAAATGATAGCTTTCATCAATGTTTAGTCCTACTTCTGAGCTCACGATGGCTGTTAGGTTCATATTTGTCCATTTGAAGCTAGCACCGTTCAAACCCATCGCTGTTAAGAAATGCTGAGGATGCTCAGTGCCTTTTTGGAGCAACTTTGGGGGAATACTTCAAACCATACTTTTCTTGGCAGTAGTCTAAGCTTATGCATGTACCTGGTATACCGCTTGTTCACACTGTTTATCCTTTTGTGCCTTTTTTTCCATTTCTTCCCTTTGTTTCAGTTCATAGATGAGCTGAAACAGGTCTCGTAAGTCCAGAATTACAGGTTCAGCCTAGGGAAGCAAAAACAGGAACGAGGGTTTCTATATGGGAAAACATACTCCAATGTTGGAGATAACTTGATACAGAATTGATTTCTACCTTAGCATCCAGGCTTGGGGTAGTTTCTATCAAACTAACTATATTTGCAAATTAATGATAATGATTGTTATTAATATAAAAGGCATTATGAATATAAAAGGCATATACATGAATATAAGATCATATTTATTAGTGGTTTCTCATACAATGAAATTACAGTAGACTACACGCAAAATGGCTATTTGGTATCTACTACTTTCTATTTAGATGAGTATAGCAATATAACTAAATGTGTCTGTATCCAGTCTAGTTTAGTTAGAAAGGAAAATAGTAACTAATTATAAAAAAAAAAAAATCACATTATGAAAAATCAGAAATAGTGAAATACATTCCATTTTTCCCAATCTGGTTTCATTCATTTGCTATTGAAGAACATCTAAGCAGATACCTGTGGCCATTATAGCACAATCATAAACAGTACAAGATTGGCCTCTTGAAGAGCTTCTTATGAACACGGCTTTTCTATTGAGTTGCACTGTAGAAAATGACAGTGATCTGATACTTACTGCCTGGGCTGTTTTTATTGCCACAAATCTGTGATTTCCCTCCTTTCCACATACATATCCAAACGCTCGATGATCTGTGATATCCTTTGCGATGTATGAAATTTCATGAACTGCATGGTGGTGCTGTAGTAGCTATTAAAAAAAAAAAACACAGTAAGAAATGTCCTTCAAAATGTTCTATTAAAAAGATGTATAATTTCTCTTTCATCGGTGCTTTATCTGGATCTCAATACACCTATGGAATTAAAACAAATATAACCTGGTATCAAAATCAGTTAATATCTGAACTCTTTAAGCCTATTCTCTTTTCAAAATCTAGCCAAACTTGACCTGCTTTAATAATTTCACTGAACGCTTCAATTTAATATTTTACTTGGTATCTTTTGGCAAGATATAATTCAGTAGAAAATACCATGTTACGTAGTTACTATCTACACAGCATTCTCAGTACAGAATCAATATTTGGAGGTAAATAAATAAATAAAAGCAGCAGCAGCTATCTGTAGCTTCATACAGGACGACTCTGAGGACAGACCGATCTGCAGGGGCTGCAGGGCTAGAGCTGAGATACCCAAACTCTCTAAGAATCAGCACCAGACTTGCTTTATCTCTGCAACACTCAGCATCAGCCAGGAAGTGAGATTTCATTTAAAGTGTAACAGAACTCCCAAAATTTATTTTTCCCAGAAAATTCATGGAAATGCAACTATCTAACTTGAAATCAATGCTAAATGCAAAAGTTCACATTTTATTTAAAATCCCACTTTGGTTAATTGTAATAATAACAAGACTCAGTTTTGTTTTAAGTGTATCAGAGTAAAACTCTCCCCAGAGCGAGGACATTAATCTGAGACTCCTATAAGCATGTTTTAGAGTGCCAGCACCTTTCCTGCTTTGGCCTAAGTAGTATATTATTACCAAAATAATATTTATGTTATTTCTACTTAAAATAATGTCCTTGAAAAGTTTCTCTAAAACAATCTATTAGTTCAAATTTCTACCTTCTGATATATTGACCTGCTCTTATATCATCTAGGGATAATGCTATTTCTGAGAGCAGACGAAGAA